TTTTTTTTTTTTTTTTTTTTGTTAATGCATTAGTGAATGAGTGTCAGCGTCCTTGAAAGGCCTCATGGTGTTATCTCTAGGTGAGAGATAACTGGGAGAGGCTGCAGTGGATTTGAGTTACTTGTTTTTAATGGGAATAATAGGATCACAGAATGGTTGAGACCATGAGAAGGTGCTTACAGAGTAGTAATCAGAGGGTCTTGTGCCACAGGGATTTCTGGTGATAGCTCATTGACCACAGGATGGTCAGCCTGCTAGGATCTGTTTGGTACATTAACAGAAAAATTCTAGGTCTGCTAAGCAGATTACCTGACTGAAAACACTGTGATGATTCACTGCTTTTTTTCAGCCATTTTATAGACTTAGGGTCTCTTAATTGAGGAGGTAGCAACCTTTGACAAAAAATGAACAATGTTGCCACAAGTATATAAGATAAATCTTCTGATCTTTTCCTGGGATACCTGTGCCCAGTTACCATGGTGATTATTCACTGGGAAAAGAGAAATACTGAAAACTTCAGGGGCCTGTTAGATACTGCTTTTGAACTGATGCTAGTAAATGAAGACCAAACTGCCATAATTTTACTTGTCAGAATGGAAGCTGAAAACATCAGGGATAGATGGAGTCTTGGCCCAAATCCGTGACATAATGTGGTTATTTCCCCAGTTACAAACATACTAACCTGTAGATGCCCCACATTGGTTCCTTGCCTTGTGTGAGGTGAAGATTGTGGTAGGAAGGACCAAGTAGAACCCACTAGTACTAACTGCTCATCCCTGCCTCCAGTTAAGGCAGTAAACCAAAAGTAATACTGCATCCCTGAAGGAACTGCAGATACAGAGGTCGTGGTTTCTGCCACATTCCCATTAAACTTGCCTGTTTGGTTAAGGCAAAAAAATTAGACTTGGAAAATGATTGTAGATTATTGCAATTTAAATTGTGATGTCAGTTTGGGCTGTTACTACTAGAATAAGTCAACACAATCCATGGGACCTCAAATGAAATCCTGTTTGGTTAAGGCAAAAAAATTAGACTTGGAAAATGATTGTAGATTATTGCAATTTAAATGGTGATGTCAGTTTGGGCTGTTACTACTAGAATAAGTCAACACAATCCATGGGACCTCAAATGAAATCATTCCTTTAGCAAGTGTTTTCTTTTTAATTCTTATCAGAAAAGAAAATCAGAAGCGGTATATCTTCATATGGCAGAGAAAGCAGTCACTATTTTATAGCTCTCAGGCTCTTTATAACAATGTAGTCAAGAGGGGCCTTGATCTGTTACACTAATGGCATTCTGTTTTCTGGTGACTTTGGTGGTGAAATACATGCATGGCAGAGGATAAAAGATAAATACTGTGAAAGTTCAGAGGCTTGCCACATTGGTGAAGTTTTAGGGTTCCAGTGGCTTGAGAATAAAGGAGTATCCCCTTATAATGAGCGACAGGTTGCATTATGTGGCACCAAACCCTATAAATAGAACTGCACAGTGCTTGGTGAGCCTCTGAATTTTTGGAGGCAAAATAACCAGGTATGATCTGTTACTCTAATCCACTTACAAGGTAGCTCCTACGCTGGCTGCCAGTTTGGAGCGGAGCAGTGTATCTGTGAGAGTTCGGTTGGGAAAATGGAGGTACTACAAAAATGTAAGAGGAATAAAGAGTTTAATGTAGGGATAAAGCCCACATGAATGTGAGAGGAGCAACTTTCCAATTCACTGAAAGCTAGCAGTAATGTGACCTGACATTAACTGTTCAGCCCTTGCAGTAGTTTTGTTTACACCTAATTACCTGTATTAAATTCCTTTCTGGACACTTCCACTTCTGGAAAGCTGGAGTTGACATCTTTTCCCTGTTCTTCCTGTTACGTACAACTAAGTACCCTGAATATTTGTATTAGTTTCCTGTGGCTGTTATAACAAATTATCACAGACTCAGAGGCATGAAAGAACAGAAATTTATTCTGAGTTCTGGATTCCGGAAGTCCAAAATTAGTTTCATTTGTCAGAGAACAAGGTGTCAGCAGGGCTGTACTCCATGTGGAGGCTCTAGGGGAGAATTTGCTCCTTTCCTCTTCCAGCTTCTGGTGGCTGCCAGCATCCCTTGGCTTGTTGACATATCACTCCAATCTTTGCCTCCATGGACACTTGCTGCCACCTCTTTTGTGTGTGTCAAATTTCCCCCTGCCTCTCTTTTATAAGGATGCTTGTGCTTGCATTTAGGGCCTACCCAGTAATCCAGGTTACCCTCTCCAGCTCTAGATACTTAATTAAACACATCTGCAGTCTCTTTTGCCATATAAGGTAACACTCACAGGTTCCAGAGATTAGGAGTTGATATCTTTGGGGGCCATCAGTCAGCCTATTATACCATGTCCATCAATAGGTAAATGGTTAAACAAACTGGTACATCCAAACCTTGAGACACTACTCACCTGTTAAAAGAAATGAACTATTGATACACACAGCAACCTGGATGAATCTCCAGAGAATTCTGCTGGGTGAGAAAGCCAATCCCAAAAGATTACCAACTGTATTGATTCTATTTATATAACATTCTTTAGATGATAAAATGATCAAGATGGAGAACAGATTCGTGATTTCCATGGGTTAAGGAGGTGGTGGAGGCAGGAGGAAGGTGTATATAGCTTTAGAAGGGAAACATGAGGTATCCATGTGGTGATATTAATGTTATATATTTTGATTGTATTAATATCAAAATCCTGGTTGTGATATTGTACTACAGTTTGCAAGAGATTACTGTTAGGGGAAACTGGCAAAGGGTACACAGGATCTCTCTGTTATTTGTTGCAGCTGTATGTGTATGTATAATTATCTCAAAATAAAAAGTTTAATTAAAAAATCTCCTTGAAATAAGAAGAGTGGTTTTCTGTTTCCCCAAAAGAACCCTGACTGACAAAACCTCCACTTGCCATGCTGTCGAATTAGCAGTCTTCCACCGCTATTTGTCCATGTCAGTCATCACAAGCCTATAATTCTCAGGTTATCCCTCATCCTAGATTTATCCTCACATGTGTTTTCATTTCCCACCCTTCACCATGTACTGAAACCCTTTGATGCTGCCCTCAGGAATGCATGAGCAGTTGTTACCTAAATCCTCTTTATCCTCAGTCTTCCTCTGCCATTCACCTCACCCATATGCTCCAGTTGAAACCTGGCTCTCCTCTGAAGGCACCTTTTCCCCTCCAGTTCTCTCAAATGTGACTGCTTTTACTCCCATCTTACTAATGTCACCAGGCCTGGAGGTGGCATAGGTGCTCTTCTTGTTTCTTTTTTTTTTTTCCTTTTTGTCTTTTTTTGTGACCGGCAATGGATCGCAACCCTCAGTGTTGCGCCCGTACCGGACCGGGACTGGCAACGGGATCGCAACCCTCGGTGTTGCATCCGCACCTCGCTCAGCCAGTGAGCGGCCAGTCTGTATGTGGGATCTGAACCCTCGGCCGGAGCGCCACCGCGCTCCCAAGCGGCGCACTGTAGCAGTGCGCCACCGGGCCGGCCCTCTTCTTGTTTCTTAATAGCACCTTTAGACTATTCTCCCTTCTCCTCTTCCTCACATCATCAATCTGTACCACCACCATTGCAGTGCAATAATTTTTGACCTGGAGTGCCCAGATTCCTTGGCCCAATTCCTCTCTCCATTGCATTAAACTCAGCGGGTCTAATGCACGTGTACTTGGTCAGTGACTCTCTCATCTGTGAGTTCCTTCACCTCCTGTCCTCCATTAATCTTACTCTTCATTTTATCCCAGCTACTCTTCCATGGGCAATCCCTGGTCTTTATTATTACCAGTAGCTATAACCAACCCCTCTATAATCTCATTTTCAAGCATCCCAGTCCAACCATTTCCTGTTTTTCTAACTCATTTCTTCTACTTCATGAACTCCAGTAGTCTTTCAATTCACTGGGTTCTTTAAGTCATTGATCCTGTCACATTTTGCACTATATCCTAACCCCTTCATGTCTCCCTTTCTTCCTTGTTCAAAAACATTAAAATATTTTTTTGCATATACCCTTAACTTCCCTGCCCTTCTTTTGTTAAGCATTTGGGTAAACCACAACCCTGGTTAAATCCATCTGTTCTTATTTTGTGCTTGCATCCACAAAACTGAACCTGGCTGGAGAAAACCATACTGCTTGGTGTCACTTTAAATTCATGATAATTCACCATAAACCTGCCCTTCTTTTGTTAAGCATTTGGGTAAACCACAACCCTGGTTAAATCCATCTGTTCTTGTTTTGTGCTTGCATCCACAAAACTGAACCTGGCTGGAGAAAACCATACTGCTTGGTGTCACTTTAAATTCATGATAATTCACCATAAGGGGGCCATCAATACCACCCAGCCATCGTACTATATAAATAATTTATTCCTCCCCTCTTCTTTTTTTTTTTTTTTTTTTTCTTTTTCCATGTCCGGCAACGGATC